CGTATATAAGAAACGGTCGTATAAAGCACACGAGATCACATGATAGGTCCAAGGTGGTGTCATGGTCAGGCAGGCATGGGGGTTGGGGGGCAGATACGGGTGATGTTTTCAATATAATGTAGCATGGTGCCTTAATTATAAACCAATGTGAGCACTTAAAGAAAGTAACAGCTTGTGCCTCATTGGCATGGCATCGGGGGTTCAATCGATATCAGGGTATCTGAACACACCGGCTCATTAAGCAGATGTGACCCTTAAACCAACCATAACAATAGGTGGATTAGCGCTTCTTTTTTATTATAATAATAATAATAGGAGGTGGAGGTAAGCGGGGAAATTATGGAACCTTTTGTTCCTGTTTCTGTTTGCAAAAGCCCCTCAAGGAAGGTTCCTTGAGGAACCTTCCTTGAGGGAATTGGATCTGTGCTCCAGTTCCCCGAATTCAGCCTGAATGCCTTCCACATCCCCCCCCCCCAGGCGCTGTATAATCCTTCGGGTTTAGCGCTTCCTCCTTGATTAAATAATAATAATAATGTTTGCAAAAGGAACAAACAAAAAAGTTTTTCCTTGTAAGGGTTACAATGTGTGGTTTACATTTCATAATTTGATTGGTGCAAATAAAGTCACTCTCATGCCGAGGCATTTCGGGCACACGTTCACTTTTCCTTCATGGTAATGGTTCTTCCCCGTATATCAGGAAGCAGGGCTCAATACGGCGCAAGCTGTTGGTGGCCCTTAAGACCCTAACGAGAATAGGCAGAGAAAGTCTAAGATAAAATGGTTATCATAACCATAATTTTTAAAGGGGTGGAGGGGTAAGCCAATCGAAGGCCTCGGTCAGATGACCAAAAGCTCCAACTGCGGGTCGTCATATGACTAAGACCCGCATCAGGAAACACTTGTCTTATTTCCTGATAAATCTTACCTAACCTAATGTAGGGAGATTAGGTTAGGTAAGATGTCTTGTGCCCCCATGTCATCCTAATGACATTTTCACAAATACTCTCTCCTAGGGTGATTCTTATTGTTATTATGCTCCGAAAACCCCGTGTTTGGTCTTACTGGTGATAACACCATGCTTGGTCTTACTGGTGATAACACCATGCTTGGTCTTACTGGTGATAACACCATGCTTGGTCTTACTGGTGATAACACCATGCTTGGTCTTACTGGTGATAACACCATGCTTGGTCTTACTGGTGATAACACCATGCTTAGTCTTACTGGTGATAACACCATGCTTGGTCTTACTGGTGATAACACCATGCATGGTCTTACTGGTGATAACACCATGCTTAGTCTTACTGGTGATAACACCATGCTTAGTCTTACTGGTGATAACACCATGCTTGGTCTTACTGGTGATAACACCATGCTTAGTCTTACTGGTGATAACACCATGCTTAGTCTTACTGGTGATAACACCATGCTTAGTCTTACTGGTGATAACACCATGCTTGGTCTTACTGGTGATAACACCATGCATGGTCTTACTGGTGATAACACCATGCTTAGTCTTACTGGTGATAACACCATGCTTGGTCTTACTGGTGATAACACCATGCTTAGTCTTGGTCATACTGGCTCACTCACTCTCTTTCAGTGTAACTTATGAATGGTCCAAGACGGACCGCAACGTCGTCCTAAGCTTCTCTGTGTGTGAGACGAGAGCGTTGCCAGCCAAGCCACAGGACCTCCAAAACTTCAGTACATGGCTCGTATGGGGATATACGATGACCAAAACGGCTTCGGCTGAACGGCATAAAATGATGCATTAACTAAATAAAAATCTTAAATATGTGGTAGAACAAATTATAAGAATAAATAATTTCTTTTATCAGCAAGAATCTCATTAATTATACGTGCATAATAGTTCTTTTCTTTCTCTGCATTAGCTGAAAAGTAACCTTTCAAAATATACCGAGGAATAGTTCCGTTGTCAGGCAATATTTTTTGTTTATCGAGGTCGTCTGTGAAAGAAAAGAAGTTGAATCTGATGCAAGACTAAGCGAGATGAATGAAGCCTTGATTAGGCAAGTAAGTTTATTCAGGTATATACAAATACAATTACATACATTATTATACATAGCAGCATATGTTTAGAGAACCTTGGATAACCCAAAAAAGTCCAAGTGACTTATTTCCATTGGGGTGGTGAAGTAGGTTGTTGGAAACGGAGTCCCGTGGAAATGAAATAAACCAGAGCAACAACAAACTTATAAAGCTGGGAGATGGGGAAAGGAGAACAATAGAGTTCACATAAATAGTTAAAAGACAATGCCTTAGAATATACAATATATACCAAGGACCAAAATGGAAATGAGTGACTTTGACCTTTTCTTTTGGGTTATCTTAGGTAGTTTACACGTATGTTACTGTGTATGATAATTTGTGTAACTGTATATACATGTACCTGAACTTAAATAAATTTACTTACCTCAGACAGACGTGTATCACGTCTGTCAATATTTTGAGACCAAAATATGCAAGATTTCAGAATGGATTGTTTTGGTCGTGCTAAACATTAGTTCTCATCCTTCGAAATCGCAGTATAAAATTTAATCACAGTATAAAATTTAACTAATTCGACCATGGGGAGCCATAACGTGCGTCCACCACCCGACTCATTCCAGGTACATTCAAAGTAGCTAATGCTCTATTGGTTTCAATTGACAGAATTTTGTTGCCACAATTGCTCATTAGGCTTGGACTCGCCGAACAATCAATTAAGGCAATGAACAAGGATCATCAAGCATGAAAACAGACTCAAATGCAATATAAGCGATCCTAGGATTATCGTTGACTATGTTTCATAGCACATACCTAGTCAATAAAGAATCGCATTACACTGCATTTGTGTCTACTTTTCCATCGTCGGTATTTATACCATTTATCTGCATCATCCAGCATTCAAATACCTGTTAGGAAAATTCTCCAAACTGAGGTTAAGGTTAATGAATTTGTATTTATAGGGGCATACACTCACCTCCATTGGTGCAGCAATGAAAACCTAGGCGTTTGGCACTGAATCTTTGTGTGGAGGGGGGGGGGATTAGACATACAATTACCAGTAATTTGTATTAAATAAACAACGGCCAACACAGGAGAAAGTAGCTAGCAAAACTTGTCAGCTTTATGTACGGTACAGTGGAGGATCATCATAGGTCTTGCCAGCTGTACTCACCTAATTGTGGTTGCAGGGGTCGAGACTTCGCTCCTGGCCCCGCCTCTTCACTGATCACTACTAGGTCCTCTCTCTCCCTGTTCCATGAGCTTTATCATACCTCGTCTTAAAGCAATGTATAGTTCCTGCCTCCACTACATCACTTGCTAGGCTATTCCACTTCCTGACAACTCTGAAGAAATACTACTTCCTAACATCCCTTTGACTCATCCGAGTCTTCAGCTTCCAATTGTGACCCCTTGTTTCTGTGTCCCCTCTCTGGAACGTCCTGTCTCTGTCCACCTTATCTATTCCACGCAGTATTTTGTATGTCGTTATCATGTCTCCCCTAGCTCTCCTGTCCTCCAGTGTCGTCAGGCCGATTTCCCTTAACCTTTCTTCGTACAGTGTAGGATCAAACCTAAATGGCCGCAATCTCGCACGCCAGTATAAGCACTGGTAGAGGATACAGATAGCATTCATAAGAGCATAAGAAAGAAAGAACACTGTAGCAGGCCTACTGGCCCATGCAAGCAGGTCCAGTATTTACTGACATAGTATATCATCCTTGGCGTTCACTGGGAAACAAAGGGAAAAATAAACAGCCCTGCTTCTAGCCTCTCTGTGAGAAATAAAATATATTTTATTGAAATACTGATGGATGAACTTGGATTAAAATAAGACTAGCCAGTTCCTGCATATGTAAAAATTATCGAAATTATTAATGATATTCTTTATAAAAACTGGTATCTTTGATTTTGTTCTATTTTGCATGAACGTGAAGAATTTCTGAGGCATTTCAACCGAAATCTACTTTCCCGTTATGCTTCCCGGACCCAAACACTACCGAATAGATACAATTTGCAAAGGTAAATTTAGTCCCGTAATGCTTGCCGAAGTCTGCTGGTATGTTGCAGTGAGATCAACCAGCCAAGACCCACAGATGACAGTCAGGCTAAACAATTTTTAAAATGTTTGTTATTTACCATGGCATTATTTACACATGTAAGTAGTACAGTATGTGTGACTTGGATATACAGTACATGTCTCCCCTGCTTTATGTGATAGGTAGTAAATTTATTTAGATACAGGTACAAATAATTATAATTATTATGTATGATAATTATAATTATTTGTACCTGTATCTAAATAAATTAATTTGCTGGGGCAGTTGATTTGGAAACATCGGACAAAGTCCATTGGTTATATAGTTGTCTATTGTTACAATCACAGCAAGGCAAAGCTTCTGTCCACCACAATTGCTGGTACTACCAACCATCATACATAATAACAGATAATTCGCATAAAGTAAACTCACTGTAATTCACTGTACTATGCAAAACATTGGGATTTGTTCTGAGACTTTGCAAATTCCAGTCACACTGCTGATCGCTATATTGATTTCAAGCATCCTAAGACTGATAACCTACCTACAGCTACACGTACGTGTTAAATGCTTATAGTGTATCTAAATTCCATCACTTTTGTCATTATTACAGTCAAGTGGCGCTGCTAAACTTGCAAGGGTCATGCAGCACCTTCAGTATGGAAAGGGTTGTGGGTAATTAAGTTTGATCTAAACAAGGGGAGAGTAGCTATTTTAACTTTTAAGGTTTAAATATGATATGAAATAAGTTACTTTGCCTTTTCTGGGTTATCCTAGGTAATTTACACATACGTTGCTATGATAATTTGCGTAACTGTATTTGTGGACCTTTACCTAAATAAACTTGTTTATTCTTTGACACATGCCAATACACATGTATATACACACGCTGGTGATCACATATATAATCTATTGTACTATTAAATTCTAAACTAAATGTTTTCTTTACAGTTTTGGGAAATCATTAGCGATGAGCATGGCATCGACCCGACCGGCACATACCGAGGAGACCATGACCTACAACTGGAACGCATCAATGTCTACTATAATGAAGCCACTGGTGGCAAGTAAGTATTACGCTGTGTGCTTCTTAGTAATTACAAAATTCTGGGAGAATAGCCCGAGTGCAGCACCGCCAGATATGTTTACAGTATCTAACATTTCTGTTTTGCCAAGAAACAAATTGGTAAATTATCTATGTTCAGATACTTTATCGTTACACAAATAACCCGCATATAAAAGAGAGGAGCTCCTTTCTTCTATGTGCGGGTTATTTGTGTATCGTTCCAGTCACGGTATTGTGCCTTTTTTTTTTGTTATTTATACTTTATCGTACTTGAGCAATATGTAGATGTTAAAGCCTAAACCTTTTGTCATAGTGACAAACTTTGTCTCCTCTGAGGTGGCTGTCTAGCCAGGTGTGTAGAGGATCTGTGACTTGACTAAGCTGGCCTGGAGTTTACCTGGAGAGTTCCGGGGGTCAGTGCCCCCGCGACCCGGTCTGTGACCAGGCCTCATGGTGGATCAGGGCCTGATCAATCAGGCTGTTACTGCTGGCTGCACGCAATCCAACGTACGAACCACAGCCCGGCTGGTCAGGTACCGACTTTAGGTGCTTGTCTAGTGCCTGCTTGAAGACAGCCAGGGGCCTATTGGTAATCCCCCTTATGTATGCTGGGAGGCAGTTGAACAGTCTTGGGCCCCTGACACTTATTGTGTTCTCTTAACGTGCTAGTGGCACCCCTGCTTTTCATTGGGGGGATGTTGCATCGTCTGCCGAGTCTTTGCTTTCGTAGGGAGTGGTGGCTAAAGCTCCCGCTTCACAGACGGAGGGCCCGGGTTCGATTCCCGGCGGGTGGAAACATTCCGATAGGTGTAAGGAAAAATTTCCTTACACCTGTCCTGTTCACTTAGCAGCAAATAGGTACCTGGGTGTTAGTCGACTGGTGTGGGTCGCATCCTGGGGGACAAGTTTGAGGACCCCAATGGAAATAAGTTACAGTCCTCGATGACGCATTGACTTTCTTGGGTTATCCTGGGTGGTTAACCCTCCGGGGTTAAAAATCCGAACGAAATCTTAGGGAGTGATTTTCGTGTGCAAGTTTGGTACTACAGGTCTACCAGGGTGGTTTTACCAAGACAAAATCATTTTACGCCGCTGGTTGTCTTACTTCCCAGTATCAATTTCTGAACATTCTTTGCAGTTAGAAATATCCTTTTCTAAATTATAAAAAGGCACCATCACAACTTTGCAGCAGTGATGGACAAACCCAAGGAACATCACCGAGGCCCTTGCAAATTAATAACTAATTTTTCAATAGCTGCTAAAATATGCGAGTCGAAGTATTGCATAGGCCCCGCGGCCTGGTGGCTAAAGCTCTCGCTTCATACAGCGAGTGTCCGGGTTCGATTCCCGGTGAGGGTAGAAACATTAGGCGTTTCCTTACACCGGTTGTCCATGTTCCCCATCAATAAAATGGATACCTGGGTGTTAGTCGACTGATGTGGGTCGCATCCTGAGACAAAACTGACCTAATTTGCAGGAAATGCTCTGCTTAAGCGGCTCTCTCTGTAGTAATATGTCATTGATGTCAGCTAGGCCTGTATACCTTGTACATGTACTTGTAGAAAGAAATTATTATTATTATTATTATTATTATTATTATTATTATTATTATAGGGAAACACTAAACCCACAGGGGTTATAGAGCTGGGAACTGGGAGATAATCAGAGGAAAATATATGTACATGAATGACCACATTCAGGACACTTATACTGAAGACAGGCAATCAGATTTGATCCATGGGTAGGGTAGCTCCAATTCCTCAGATTGAAAGCCCTTTTATCAGCATAATGACACCCACCTTGAAGAATCTTGTGGTACATTAGGCATGACTATGTCTCTCTCAAGATTTATATGGAAATGAGAGATTTATAAGTACATTATGCAACATTTTAAAATATCAAGGACAAGCGCAAACCTCGTAAGGGTCATGCAGTACCTGGGATATGCAGTACTGTAATTATGTTTAATCCAAGGGTTATTATTATTATCATAACTAAGCGCTAGACCCACTCTACTACCATTACTACTACTGCCATTGCTACTAATACTACTACTACAACCACCACAGGAGCGCTAAACCCGTAGGGATTATACAACACCTGTGGGGAAGGGATGGAAGGTATCCAGAGTCAGTTCAGGGAACTGGAGCACAGATCCAATTCCTTAGATCAAGAGCCCCTCAACAGCATCAAGGAACCGTCCTTGAGGGGATGTACATCGTAAATAGGACAGTTTACCTGGAGACCTGGAGAGAGTTCCGGGGGTCAACGCCCCCGCGGCCCGGTCCGTGACCAGGCCTCCTGGTGGATCAGAGCCTGATCAACCAGGCTGTTACTGCTGGCTGCACGCAAACCAACGTACGAGCCACAGCCCGGCTGGTCAGGAACCGACTTTAAGTGCTTGTCCAGTGCCAGCTTGAAGACTGCCAGGGGTCTGTTGGTGATCCCCCTTATGTATGCTGGGAGGCAGTTGAACAGTCTCGGGCCCCTGACACTTATTGCATGGTCTCTTAACGTGCTAGTGACACCCCTGCTTTTCATTGGGGGGATGTTGCATCGTCTGCCAAGTCTTTTGCTTTCGTAGTGAGTGATTTTCGTGTGCAAGTTCTGTACTAGTCCCTCTAGGATTTTCCAGGTGTATATAATCGTGTATCTCTCCCCCCTGCGTTCCAGGGAATACAGGTTCGGGAACCTCAAGCGCTTCCAGTAATTTAGGTGTTTTATCTCCGTTATGCGTGCCATAAAGGTTCTCTGTACATTTTCTAGGTCAGCAATTTCACCTGCCTTGAAATGTGCTGTTAGTGTGCAGCAATATTCTAGCCTAGATAGAACAAGTGACCTGAAGAGTGTCATCATGGGCTTGGCATCCCTAGTTTTGAAGGTTCTCATTATCCACCCTGTCATTTTTCTAGCAGATGCGATTGATACAATGTTATGGTCCTTGAAGGTGAGATCCTCCAACATGATCACTCCCAGGTCTTTGACGTTGGTGTTTCGCTCTATTTTGTGGCCAGAATTTATTTTGTACTCTGATGAAGATTTAATTTCCTCGTGTTTACCATATCTGAGTAATTGAAATTTCTCATCGTTGAACTTCATATTGTTTTCTGCAGCCCACTGAAAGATTTGGTTGATGTCCGCCTGGAGCCTTGCAGTGTCTGCAATGGAAGACACTGTCATGCAGATTCGGGTGTCATCTGCAAAGGAAGACACGGTGCTGTGGCTGACATCCTTGTCTATGTCAGATATGAGGATGAGGAACAAGATGGGAGCGAGTACTGTGCCTTGTGGAACAGAGCTTTTCACCGTAGCTGCCTCGGACTTTACTCTGTTGACTACTACTCTCTGTGTTCTGTTAGTGAGGAAATTATAGATCCATCGGTCAACTTTTCCTGTTATTCCTTTAGCACGCATTTTGTGCGCTATTACGCCATGGTCACACTTGTCGAAGGCTTTTGCAAAGTCTGTATATATTACATCTGCATTCTTTTTGTCTTCTAGTGCATCTAGGACCTTGTCGTAGTGATCCAATAGTTGAGACAGACAGGAGCGACCTGTTCTAAACCCATGTTGCCCTGGGTTGTGTAATTGATGGGTTTCTAGATGGGTGGTGATCTTGCTTCTTAGGACCCTTTCAAAGATTTTTATGATATGGGATGTTAGTGCTATCGGTCTGTAGTTCTTTGCTATTGCTTTACTGCCCCCTTTGTGGAGTGGGGCTATGTCTGTTGTTTTTAGTAACTGGGACGACCCCCGTGTCCATGCTCCCTCCATAGGATGGTAAAAGCTCGCGATAGGGGCTTCTTGCAGTTCTTGATGAACACGGAGTTCCATGAGTCTGGCCCTGGGGCAGAGTGCATGGGCATGTCATTTATCGCCTGTTCGAAGTCATTTGGCGTCAGGATAACATCAGATAGGCTTGTGTTAACCAAATTCTGTGGCTCTCATAAAAAATTCATTTTGATCTTCGACTCTCAGTCTGGTTAGCGGCTTGCTAAAAAACTGAGTCATATTGGGACTTGAGTAGCTCACTCATTTCCTTGCTGTCATCTGTGTAGGACCCATCTTGTTTAAGTAGGGGCCCAATACTGGACGTTGTTCTCGACTTTGATTTGGTATAGGAGAAGAAATACTTTGGGTTTCTTTCAATTTCATTTATGGCTTTTAGTTCTTCCCGCGATTCCTGACTCCTATAAGATTCCTTTAGCTTAAGTTCGATGCTTGCTATTTCTCTGACCAGTGACTCCCTACGCATTTCAGATATATTGACCTCTTTTAGCCGCTCTGTTATTCTTTTCCGTCGCCTGTATTATTATTACAATCAAGGGGGAAGCGCTAAACCCGGAGGATTATACAGCGCCTGGGGGGGGGGGGTGTGGAAGGCATTCAGGCTTAATTTGGGGAACTGGAGCACAGATCCAATTCCCTAAATCAAGAGCCCCTCACCAACATCAAGGAACCTTCCTTGAGGGGCCGTCGCCTGTAAAGGGAGCGCCTATCTCTATTTTACATCTATTCCTCCTTTTTCTTAGAGGAATAAGTCTTGTGCATACATCAAGTGCCACCGAGTTAATCTGTTCTAGGCATAAGTTGGGGTCTGTGTTGCTTAGTATATCTTCCCAGCTTATATCGGTTAGGACTTGGTTTACTTGGTCCCACTTTATGTTTTTGTTATTGAAGTTGAATTTGGTGAATGCTCCCTCGTGACTAATCTCATTATGTCGGTCTGGGGCTCCACGCATACATGTCTGAACCTCAATTATGTTGTGATCTGAGTATATTGTTTTTGATATGGTGACATTTCGTATCAGATCATCATTGTTAGTGAAGATGATGTCTAGTGTATTCTCCAGTCTAGTAGGCTCTATTATTTGCTGGCTTAAATTGAATTTTGTGCAGAGATTTAGAAGCTCGTGTGTGTGTGAGTTCTCATCAGAGCTGCCTCCTGGTGTTATTACTGCAACAACATTATTTGCTATATTCCTCCATTTTAGGTGCCTTAAGCTGAAATCTCCCCAGGAGCAAGATGTTGGGGGCAGGAGCTGGCAGATTTTCCAGACAGTGGTCAATTTTTAACAGCTGTTCCTAGAATTGCTGGGATGTTGCATCCGGACGCTTGTAGACTACCGCAATGACTAGGTTTTGGTTCTCGATCTTTACTGCTAAAACTTCCACTACATCATTTGAGGCATTAAGCAGTTCTGTGCAAACAAGTGACTCTACGATGTACAGGCCAACCTCCCCACCCCCCATTTTGCCTGTTCACTCTGTCGCATCTGTATAGGTTGTAACCTGGGATCCATATTTCGTTGTCCAAGTGATCCTTTATGTGGGTCTCAGTGAAAGCCGCGAACATTGCATTTGCCTCTGCAAGCAGTCCACGGATGAAAGGTATTTTGTTGTTTGTTGCTGGCTTTAGACCCTGTATATTTGCAAAGAAGAATGTCATCGGACTGGTGGTATTGTTGGTACTGGGGGGGGGGATTTTTTTCCGGCATTAGTATCTGTATCTGTTGGTTTGGAGTGGAGGTCATTGACTGTGGTTCCACTCCAGGAATGACTGGATTTGGTGTACGATTTCTGCCATTTCCTGCCATTTTTTTTTCCTTCCTGGCACTAAAAAACCTCTCCCTCTTGAGTGGCTGTGGCTACCCAGGTTTTCCCATGGCCTGGATGTTTTGTATCTTTTTGTCCCCTTTAGATGGCGTGCCTGGAAATTTAAGTTATAGCACAGTCTTTCCTGTACTGAAGAGGTACACATTTCAGGGTGAAAAAGCTTACAGGAAGGGAGTTTGCATTTTCCTGTTGTCATATGGGCACGGCATTTTCTAGGGTGGTCATAGTTGCACGTCCCATCTGTTTTTCCAGATTTCCCATGCCTGCAGATACCAAGTGCATAGTATGTGCACAGGCTTGGTTTCCGTTTGCCTTGGGTTTCTGTGACTGTATTCCCTGTTGGTGCATGTTTACCTGTCTTATTCCTATCCTCACTAGCACCAACAATGGAGCTCTCACCAGTTGTTTTTGGTAATATATCCTCACTATTGCTAGTGGAGTCCTCTTGTTTGCTATTTCCTGTGGTATTACTAGTTTGCAATATTAGCTTTATCTTATCTTTGACTACACTTGTTTCCCCACTACAGCTCCTGTCTCCCATGGGGTCATTTATATGCATTCCCTCCTGCGTATATTTCCCGACTACCTGGACAAAATCTCCAGCTTCTTCATTACTGTCTCCCAGGACAGCACCTCCAGCTTCACCATTACTGTCTCCCAGGACAGCACTATCAGCCCCACATTTACTGACTACCAGAACAGCACCTCCAGCCTTACAGTTTCTGACTACATGGCCAGCATCAAGGGCAGTACCATCCAGCCCAGACTTTTTATGTTCCCATCTGTTGTAGAATGCTTCCAGGTTTTCTATGAAAACAGCTTTGATGTTATCCTCTTTTAATACCAACGTGATTTTATTCCACAGATTTATCTCATTTGGGCATACCCAAAAACACTTCCCTGATTTTATACTGCTTGTAGCTAGTTCTTGGATATCTGCACAAGGGGCGTGACACCAATTTCCACAAAAATGACAATTTATCCATGTGGAAGCCCGTTTGTTTGTTTGACTGCAGACTACACAGTGCTTCATAATGATTTGAATGGTTGATTTACTATAATTCTACTAGCAACCTCTTGAATACTCTATTAATAACCTCCTTAAAGTGAAGCTCTAGCTATTTGTAATTCTATTTCTAACTGTATTTGTATATTAGGACAGCTTACCGGTGTACGTTCCTGATTTTATATTTATTGTTTGTGTTTGATAAGGGCGCCTACAACTCCATCCGTTTACAGACTGTTTTATTGTCCAACGAATCCGTTTGAAACCGGTCAAGGGTTCGGACCAGTCGAGGGTTCGACCAGTCAAGGGTTCGGAACCAGTCTGATCTGATCAGTGGGTCACTTATTTAAAACATACTGGTCGGTGATTTGGGCTAACACATGAAGGATCTACTGGAAATTATCTACCCGAGTAATATGTGATTTGATTGATACAAAAGTATAACTTGCGTTTTGAATGCAGGAGATAATTTCACTGAATTAATCCTTCATTATTATTATATTTGGGGGGAGGTGAGCGCTAAATCTGCAGAGGTCATACAGCATCTGGAAAATGGGAGATAATCAGGTTCGATGCAAGGATGGGGAGTTAGTCCAATTCTTTTGATCAAGAGCCCCGTACCAGTATCAAAACTCCCTGGGGGGGGGGAATGATTTCTTTATCTCACTAATGCCTGTTTACCGCTTACCTACACTGTCATGTTTGCTACTGAGTTACTAGTATACACTAGCAGTCAGCAGCTGATGTCACTTCACTTGTTCTACTCTATAAACTTTTCAGCTAAGATAAGGAAAAATTATCCCCAAGGCTAAATCTTGTTAGAAGATACAGTAATAATAAGTACATGTACAAGGTATACAGACCATAGCTGACATCATACATGACGGTAAACAGGAAAAAAATACTTGAGTGACTTCAGTCTTAATACGGTTACATGCCAATAGAATTTAATGTGGCCCCTGCTTTAAAAATATATTTCCACAACATCATTTGTAGATTGCAAACACAGTAGTCACGTGGGATAGATAAATGATGTCCCTACGAATTTGGAAATGTTACAAAATAAAATATTTGATTACCATACTGGATGTAAAGTGTATATATTTGCATTAGAAATTACATAAATTTGGCTTTTAAATGACTTACTGGCAAACAACAAACCCTGGTTTCTACATCCTCGTTCCTACATAAACACCAACAATAAGAATCTGCCAATATATTTGTCAACAGTCATTGAATTTAATATGCAAGTTTTGTATTTTACAAGTTTTTGAATTATAAAAGTTCGGTTTCTTTTTCTATACCATAATTTCACTAACACAGTAAAGAGTAATTAATATTGTATCATTATTTCCCTAACGCAGTAAGGCATCTGGTATTTAGAGTATTGAAGTAAAGCTAATAATTGGTCTTCATCACACCAGATATGTTCCTCGGGCTATTCTTGTCGATTTGGAACCAGGCACAATGGACTCTGTCCGATCTGGACCCTTTGGTCAACTCTTCCGGCCAGACAACTTCGTTTTTGGTAAGTCACTCCTGAGTTTCCAAGCACCTACTTCATCTCACTAAAGCTGATGGGCATATTAAACCTCTCATAAGCTAATGGATCTATTAAACATGCCATAAGCTAATTCGTCTTTAAAATGTCACACACAAATCACCCGCGAATAGTAGAGAGAAGCTCATGACGATTTATGGTCCGACTTGTAAATGATCCAAATCGGACCAAAACGTCGTCATCAGCTTTTTTTTCTCTCTCTCTCCTGTGTGTGTGGGTTATTTGTTATTTAAAAGGCCATAATATGATGGGCCTACTAAACATGGCATAAGCATGTGATGAGAATGCCGTAAGATAATCATGTACGGTACATCTGTACATTCTCTATATTTCAGTTTCCCATATGCTTTGTATGTCTGAAATTTCCATGACTTGAATACACCTATTTAGCTTTACTGTATCATTCATCAACTAAACATTTACCACAGTAATGTTGCACATTAACACTTATTTCTTGTGTCGGTTTTCTTTTAATTTCCAAAATAATGGCAATTATATATAAAGACTGAATAATTAATATTTATGAGCAAAGTTATCTTTATGAAGAGCTTAAATTGTTTTTATTTAAATTAATAAATATTTTGTGTTTGCAGGTCAGAGTGGTGCTGGAAACAACTGGGCTAAGGGTCACTACACAGAAGGCGCTGAACTTGTAGATTCTGTTCTTGATGTAGTCCGTAAAGAGTCTGAAGGCTGTGACTGTCTGCAGGGCTTCCAGCTCACACATTCTCTTGGTGGTGGTACTGGCTCAGGAATGGGTACTCTTCTTATCTCAAAGATTCGTGAAGAATATCCTGATCGTATCATGAACACATTCTCTGTTGTGCCTAGTCCAAAAGTAAGTTGTTGGCGTTTTGCATTATGAAACTGTAGTCTATTTTGAACTAAATTTTCACTTTACTCGTTTGCCAGTCAAATTGTGTGCAATCACATATACTGTCAGTACTGTATTTTTAATATTACCCTTTCTTCACTTCAGGTATCAGACACTGTGGTTGAGCCTTACAATGCCACTTTATCAGTCCATCAACTTGTAGAAAACACAGATGAAACCTACTGTATTGACAATGAAGCCCTTTATGACATTTGCTTTAGGACACTGAAACTGTCCACTCCTACATATGGTGACCTTAACCATCTTGTATCTCTCACTATGTCTGGTGTGACCACTTGCTTACGATTCCCTGGCCAACTGAATGCAGATCTCCGAAAGTTAGCGGTGAATATGGTTCCATTCCCTCGACTCCACTTTTTCATGCCTGGATTTGCTCCACTCACCTCACGTGGTTCCCAGATGTATCGTGCTCTTACTGTACCTGAGCTGACCCAGCAGATGTTTGATGCCAAGAACATGATGGCTGCCTGTGATCCCCGCCATGGACGTTACCTGACTGTTGCTGCCGTGTTCCGTGGTCGTATGTCAATGAAGGAAGTGGACGAACAGATGCTTAATATTCAAAATAAGAATTCCTCATACTTTGTTGAATGGATTCCCAATAATGTGAAGACTGCTGTTTGTGACATCCCTCCAAGAGGAATCAAGATGGCCTCGACCTTCATCGGCAACTCTACTGCCATTCAGGAACTCTTCCGTCGTATCTCTGAACAGTTCACCGCTATGTTCCGGCGAAAGGCTTTCCTCCACTGGTATACTGGTGAGGGCATGGATGAGATGGAGTTCACAGAGGCTGAATCTAACATGAATGATCTTGTTTCTGAGTACCAGCAGTACCAGGATGCTACAGCTGAAGAGGAATATGAAGATGAAGAGGAACATGCTGAGGAGGCCTAATTATCTGAGGCTAACAGTATGAGGCTCTAACCGCTGGTACTGATGCTGCCATGCTCTTAACTAGGATAACGTTGATACTATATATGTAGTTTCAGCTTGCCTAAGATATCAACAAAACTCTAAGATCTCTTAATCCATGGAGACATAACTACTTGCTACTACTTGCTTTTATTTCAAAACAATTTTCTCATGGTTTATATCATTGTGTTTCAGACAACGGCATTTAAGTTTCACAGTTAATAAAATTAGCTGTGAATATTAGTAATGTAATGTATCTGATTTAATGTATACTTTGAGAGGAGCCAAGTGGAAGATCATTCCATGACACAACGTGCTAATACACTGCCAATTGACAAGTGACTAATGGTGTCTTTCACTTGCTTCACTCACAGACTAACTTGGTTAAGAACAAAGCCATTTCAAGTACTCCTCTATACTATGACACTATCTTCATTTGGCTGTGTCCCTTTAGTCTTTGTTCTCAACCCAGTCTCAAAGAAATGTCAAGCAAAGTGTAAGGAACTTTACTAGTAAGGGCTCTATACTTGTGTCAATTTGTAACATGTGGTTCATGTCAGTTTTAAGTGTGATCTCTTGGTATTGACAATTAGGCTTGATACCTCTGTATGCAATCATTTAAAAATAGTTTAACATTTGTTCCGGTTTTCTAAAGGAATGCTGGGACCTCAGATAAATTATAAATATCCGCATTAATTCCAGCTTAAAATTTAAGGGTAAAGCCACTAAAATGGTCACAGATTATGGCTCATGTTTTTTATAAGCCAAATATAATTTTATGCTCTACCAGTTGAATTTTAAGTGTCTAGGTACAGTACAGTATATTACCTCTTAAGCACTAAAATAATTACCGGTCTCTTTTGCCCTTACTAGGCGTCTTCTAGTCAGCGTTACATGCCAGTACTGTAATTGTTTCTTGTCTCCCAAATAATTTACATTTTATTTATAATTACTGTCATTTGATTTCATAGCATAAGTAGAAGTACAGTATACTGTATTAATTTTTTATTTCACCACTGCAGTTTTGTCTTTAATAAAGATATCTGTATGGTGCTCTGTCTTTTATTTCACAGAATTAAACATATAACACTTTTACATATACAGGTACCGCACAGTATTGTATATACTGTATGTATAAATTAAATTCACATTAAATGCAAGAAATATTTATTACAGTGAAAATATTTTTAGTCAAGCTGGAGATCCTCTTTAGATGGAAAACATCGACACCATACCTAACCCTTCTAGGGTAGGGTAGGTGCCTGAGCCGGAGCTTTCAGCTCACAAGACTGTCATTCCCATTAGCTCCCTTGGGGCGGGGATGACAGACCAGAGAGGCCTATGTGGCTAGGCCTGGGGACAGTTGGTCCCAAAGATGAGGTGGTACTTGTGCCTCCTCCCATGGGAGACTTAGGTCTCAGACACTCCCTAAAGAGGGCGCCAAGGCTGGGCCACCACTTTGAAAAGGCCCGGGCCGGGAGAATACCGGCGAATATTTAATAATAATAACAATAATAGATGAAAAATTTAACAATAGGAAAGAAATCCTTGTATATGCAAACAAGTCAGATACTAATGCTTAAGAACACAAGAAAATGAACACAGCAGCAGACTCATTAGCACCCTGAGAGATGTTGCATCATGTACGACATTTATGACCGTTTCAGCCTCGTCTTTAAAATGGTTCGTCAGACTTTAGAAGAGAGATCATTATAAGACTTTCCTTGGCTTTGTAACCCAGCATAGCCCATCATTAATTTAGTCGCCGTCTTTCCAGAAATGTGCTGAGCTCACAATCAGATTACCCCTTAGGGTGCCGTCTCATCTTTCAGTGTGAGAAATTATAGTTCAAGCATAGTAATGTGTGGGTTCCCTCTCATCTTGCAGGCATGGTTCTGTGGTGTGGGTTCCCTCTCATCTTGCAGGCATGGTTCTGTGATGTGGGTTCCCTCTCATCTTGCAGGCATGGTTCTGTGGTGTGGGTTCCCTCATCTTGCAGGCATGGCTCTGTGGTGTGGGTTCCCTCATCTTGCAGACATGGTTCTGTGGTGTGGGTTCTCTCTCATCTTGCAGGCATGGTCCTATGGTGTGGGTTTCCTCTCATCTTGCAGGTATGGTTCTGTAGTGTGGGTTCCCTCATCTTGCAGGCATGGTTCTGTGGTGTGGATTTCCTCTCATCTTGCAGGCATGGTTCTGTGGTGTGGGTTCCCTCATCTTGCAGGCATGGTTCTGTGGCGTGGGTTCCCTCTCATCTTGCAGGCATGGTTCTGTGGTGTGTGTTCCCTCATCTTGCAGGCATGGTTCTGTGGCGTGGGTTCCCTCATCTTGCAGGCATGGTTCTGTGGTGTGGGTTCCCTCATCTTGCAGGCATGGTTCTGTGGTGTGGGTTCCCTCTCATCTTACAGGCATGGTTCTGTGGTGTGGGTTCCCTCATCTTGCAGGCATGGTTCTGATTAGATTTTGCCACCGAAGTGGCTAGTTTATTGTGCACCCCATATCCATCCTGTGGACGGTAGCGCGAGAGCATATGGATACACAAAAGGCCTAGGAACTAGGCCCCAAAGGGTTAACAGGAATACATATGGATTTATATCTACATATCTATAGTTCACTTATCTGTTACAAGCAAATTTAGGAAATTTGCTTAGTATATCTGGTATCTTATTTTCATTAATAAGATATCTTGACATGTCACATAGGTTATTATACTGGTTCTGTGGTGTGGGTTCCCTCATCTTGCAGGCATGGCTCTGTAGTGTGGGTTCCCTCTCATCTTGCAGGCATGGTTCTGTAGTGTGGGTTCCCTCTCATCTTGCAGGCATGGTTCTGTAGTGTGGGTTCCCTCTCATCTTGCAGGCATGGTTCTGTAGTGTGGGTTCCCTCTCATCTTGCAGGCATGGTTCTGTAGTGTAAGTACCTCATCATTCAGGCAAGGTTTCATCACTAGGGTGTTCCATCATCATTAAAGCGTTGTTTCACGTAAGTGTCCCCTTCACTTTTTAAAATTTATGTTCATATTTTGAGTACTAAAGGCCTCAAAAATTTTTAATTCACAAATAATATAAAATTGCTTATCTGCATAACTTCTTACCAGCACATTTTGAAAGCAAACCTATGGTTAATTTTCCATTGAGGGAATGTGCAGCAAGCCAAAAGAAAAAGGAAGTACAGAAAAAAAAAAAACTTGAGATTAGGTGTGATGCTGTTCTGTACAAAGACTGGGTATGTGAAGAAATGGAATTACGAAGCTTGGAAATTTGAGGGTTCAAGTGTTCGGGCAAACTTTAAAGTACGGTACAGTAACTATTAAAAATATAGGATACAAAATGCTGAAAAAAATTTAATAACAAGTAAGAACCTAAAAGGAGAACTGCAAGTCCTACTAGTTCATGCTATTCACTGCCTACTTAATCCAACCTGTTTCACTCATATAGCTATCTAACCTATTTTTAAAGCTACACAAAGTATTCACAGTACTTTAGTGATACTATTCAATTTGTTCAACTCGTCTCCTGAAACTGGATAGAGCTATGTCGGATGGCCAACCTATGGCGCTTGTGCCAATAGTGGCGCATTGCATGACTAGAAGTGGTGCATTGCACCCCAGTGATGATAATAAAAAAAGCAAGCCTACTCATACAAAAAATATTAACCAGTATTATTATTATAATCATGGGGAGCGCTAAACCCGGAGGGATTATACAGAGTCTGTGGGGAGGGGAAGATGTTCAGGCTCAGTACGGGGAACTGGAGCACAGGTCCAATTTCCTACCTGGAAAGGGTTTCGGGGATCAATGCCCCCGCGGCTCGGTCTGAGACCAAGCCTTGTAGTGGATCTGATCAACCAGGCTGTTACTGCTGGCCGCACGCAAACTGACGTTCGAACCACAACCCGGTTGGTCAGATACTGACTTTAGGTGCCTGTCCAGTGATCAAGAGCCTCTCACCAGCGTCAAGGAACCTCCCGTGAGGGGAAAGTATTAACCAATAACTGATTTGTAGAAAAAATATAACAGAAATTCAAGTAACTCATAGCTAGAAATTAATTTGACTGAGAATGAATCTAAAACTTAGCAATAATTTTTAGTGATTTTTATTATTTTGTGCACATCTAGCAAATGTCATCTTCTTTCACATTAATCTGTTTTCAGTTAAAAAATATTCAGTAAGACTTGGAACGAATTACAGTGAACACCCACACTGCACAAAGAGGGACATATGTACAGGAGTCATTCTGTAAGTGTACAACCCCTCAGGGAAGGTTCCTTGATGTTGGTGAGGGGCTCTTGATTTAGGGAATTGGATCTGTGCTCCAGTTCCCCGAATTAAGCCTGAATGCCTTCCACATCCCCCCCCCAGGCGCTGTATAATCTTACGGGTTTAGCGCTTCCCCTTGATTATAATAATAATAATAATAATGTAAGTGTACAAGTTTGATACTTGTTTGATCTTGAGGAGGCCTAATTCTCTGAGGCTAAGAGTATGAGGCTCTAACCTCTGGTACTGATGCTGCCATGCTCTTAACTAGGGTAACGTCGATACTATATACTATGTAGTTTCAGCTTGCCTAAGATATCAACAAAACTCTAAGATCTCTTAATCTTACAGCACGGCTGCTGTACATTGCACATTTTTACTAGTCAGTTAGAATATATAAATGACCATAATTTTTAAAGGGGTGGACCGGTAAGCCAGCGGGAGGCCTCGGTCATATGACCAAAAGCTCCAAAAGCTGAACCATCTGACTAAGACCCGCGTCAGGAAACTTGTCCTGTTTCCTGACGAACTTTACCTAACCTAACCAGTCAGTTTACAACTGACATTCGTGTAATAGAGTTGTACTTCGCTCTACGTGAACAAATGAAGTTTTGTACTTTGTGAAACTTAAACTATTTTTACAGTTACCCATCACAGTGCAAAAGAAAAGCAGAAAGTGATAGTGAGCATCAATTTGATAAACAGTGGGAAAATTAGTTATTTATGGCAGGTCCGTCAGGAAAACCATTGTGCATTGTGAAAATACTCAGATAAAAGATGACATGATCTTAATAAACTCTGTTAAAAAATATCAGGCAGAAATAGAAGAAAAACTGAAGTTAGTGCTTGGGTCTGAGTTACAGAAAGAGTATGTGAATAAGAAAAAGAATGAAATAAAAAGAAGACAAAATATATTTTAAGTTTGGGGATGACGGAAGAATCCTACGAAATTGACTTTGCACTGGTTAAATAACAGAAACCTTTCTCTGATAGAGAAGAAATTATTAAACCTTGTCTCCAAATACTATTTGCAAGATGTCTTGGTGATAAAAATATTATGTGAGCAAATCACCTGCAGGAGACGTACAAGGTATTACCTGAATTATTACCTGCAAGTAATTTGGGTGAGGTAAGTGGGACTTAGTCACAGTAGGTCACTGAACTAACTCCCTCGACCACCCACTTCCTCACCACTCACAAAATGCTAGACCTGACATAAAATTATTAATTATAATATTAAACCAGCTTCTCTGGTAATTAAAGTTATGTGGACTGTATAGGATTAGGCTTGCTGGGTACACAAAATATAATTGGTATTAACACTTACCATTTAATTACCGGAAGACAATGCTGATGGAACACATCCTAACTACGCTAGCAGATAGGATTTACGATGGTCAACACAAAAACTACTGTACATTACAGGTAAGCGGCACTTGGCTAAGGGGTGTTGTTGTGAAGGATTCATTGAAGTCCTTTATTTTTCCATCCTTCACACACCTCAATTACTGGGAGCGCTTGAAGTTCCTGAACCTGTACTCCCTGGAAAGCAGGCGGGAGAGATACATGATTATATACACCTGGAAAATCCTAGAGGGACTAGTACCGAACTTGCACACGAAAATCACTCACTACGAAAGCAAAAGACTTGGCAGACGATGCAACATCCCCCCAATGAAAAGCAGGGGTGTCACTAGCACGTTGAGACAATACAATAAGTGTCAGGGGCCCGAGATTGTTCAACTGCCTCCCAGCATACATAAGGGGGATTACCAACAGACCCCTGGCTGTCTTCA